GCTTTATTGTGTCATGCATGTTTTCATGATTTCCCCGTCAGCAGATGCACATTTGGGGCCCGACACATTGACCTTGGAACTGATTTTTTCACCAGTTCACTCATTAATGATCACCATTAGTCGCTGTTTCGATTGTGTTCCTTGCTACACGTTGGATTTTTCATACATATATTTTTGTCATAATACCTGTGACAAAATTGTAGGCAATGCGAGGCTGTTGTTCAGCACCATATTGCATTAGGCTGAAACAGCCTTTTATTGCGTGGATTTTAGAGCAGAATCCGCTTTCCGAAATTCCAGATTCCATTTCAAGAAACCATTTCGTGCAAACATGCATCTGGTTGTCAGTTAGAGCAGGAGGGGGGGGGGTCGTAACTGGACCCTCTTCGAGGGGGGGGAGTCGTACTCACATCGCCATTTCGCACATCCCCATGCTGTACCCTGGTGCCATATTCTTGTTCAGGGGGTCAAAGAGTCCCTAGCCACGGCACTCTAGCAAAACCTGAGGTTCTGGCTCAACTACAAAAAAATGGAGTTTGTTAATCATGGCTGACTGGTAGCAAACAGCAAGACTGCGATTAACTTACTGGTGATGACCGGTCTTCGAGCCGAAGTAGCTCTTCAGGCACGTCTTTTCACGAAGAAGAGTACCTGGCTCACTTATTCATGTCGTCGGCATCATTCCTGACTACCGGGAGAAGATTGCATCCCGAGACAGTCATCGATGGCACGTGAGCTCCAGTCTGCTGCTCCCACATTTTCCAAGGAAAAGGAAGTCACTCCAAACCTAGATGATCTGTTTCCCTTGTTCCCTTAGACGAATCATCCCTGTCTCGCCAATCCCAAGCTGGTCAGTAGGAAGGGCGGCGATACAAAGAAATGGACTATGCAGTGGAATGAGTAGAGAAAACGATAAAATGAGAGAAGTTATAAGATAGATGCGAAATTGATGCAGCAAAGATGAGTTGAGAGGAAGGGGTCAGAAAGATGAAAGGGGCAGTCACGCGAAGTGTGTAAAAAAACGTTAGAGGGGTCAGGTACAGGCCGAATTTTCATAATGTTCAGATGGGATGTATACTCCTAGAAGCATCTTCGGACCTTGATACCAGATCTGACTTCCAAGTTTGCTAAACGATTCTAGGAGAGAAGTCACGGAGCTTTTTTCCTACTGTGCTTAATCTTTGCGGTGCCCTGCCCATACTTTGCGCTAGTGAATAACCTCGTGATACAACCGCACCTGTGATTTGGCGTGCAGGTAGGTGAGCGGGCTCATAGCGGTGGGACGAAGTTTCGCTTCCTTGATGCGTTTCGTAGTTTTGCTTTTTTTTGGAAGGTATGCTAAACACTTGGACAGTAGTTTCAGGTATCAATTTTACCATCACGGGCCTCCCTATGCTTCTTATTGAGCCTTGTGAACGAATTCTGGGAAACATTTCATTTCGACTTCAGTGAATGCATTGAAATGGATAGCGTTGATGCAGCAGCCTTACTTTTCCAAAATGGCCCCATACGGGAAATGTGGTAAATACCAATACCGATTCGCATGCCAACAGCAAACACTAACTTGAAAAAACAATTTTTTTCGTCAAAGTTTTCAAAAATGGTCGTTGCGACT